ACAACACGCAGCTAGAGAATCAAAGGGCTGACAGGAAAAGGGATGCATTGGAAAGAACTGATAGATATGGTCACATGTCTATAGAGGAGAGGTAGATGATAGGAGACATTTCTACTTGGTCACCCCATTGATTCACTATATTATTTTTGAAGCACTTCCGAACAGTTCGGGCCAGATTCTCCATTTCCCTGCATCTCGTGTCATCATTTTACACTAGTGCAAATTGCTCCCATTCTAACTTATGCCAACTTTACACAGATGTAACCAACGAACTCGGTGACAGGCCTCAGTGAACCAGGTCTATCCCTTTAAAGAAATGTTATGCACTGAATTGTCTGAATAACATTCACAATCGTGAAAACTGCTATACTGACAGTGCCACAGATCAAGGACAGCATGGGCAGCATAAGGACTATCTTCATCCCCACTGTCCCACTCATGTGTCTCAAATGTGATCCACAGTGACTACCTCTGGGAGCAGGAGGGTACTTTATTCCCCACACCGCTATTCATTTGTGGCCTCTCTTCTAAGCCTCTTAACAAGAGGTTCAATTAGGGCCAGTTGCCGAGATGGTTTTGTACTAGTACAGTAGAACCTCAGCGTTACGGACATCAGAGTTATGAACTGACCGGTCAACCACACACCTCATTTGGAACTGGAAGTATGCAACCAGGCAGCAGCAGAGACAAAAAAACCAAAACCCAAATATAGTGCAGTTCTGTGCTAAATGTAAACTACTAAAAAAATAAAGGGAAAGCAGCAATCTTCTTCTGCATAATTAATACAGCTTTGAAACTTTATCATAGAATCATAAAATATCAGGGTTGGAAGGGACTTCAGGAGGTCATCTAGTCCAACCCCCTGCTCAAAGCAGGACCAATTCCCAACTAAATCATCCCAGCCAGGGCTTTGTCAAGCCTGACCTTAAAAACCTCTAAGGAAGGAGATTCCATCACCTCCCTAGGTAACCCATTCCAGTGCTTCACCACCCTCCTAGTAAAAAAAGTTTTTCCTAATATTCAACCTAAACCTCCCACACTGCAACTTGAGACCATTACTCCTTGTTCTGTCATCTGGTACCACTGAACAGTCTCGATCCATCCTCTTTGGAACCCCCACTCAGGTAGTTGAAAACAGCTATCAAATCCCCCCTCATTCTTCTTCTGCAGACTAAACAATCCCAGTTCCCTCAGCCTCTCCTCGTAAGTCATGTGCTCCAGCCCCCTAGCCATTTTTGTTGCCCTCCGCTGGACTCTTTCCAATTTTTCCACATCCTTCTTGTAGTGTGGGGCCCAAAACTGGACACAATACTCCAGATGAAGGCCTCACCAATGTCGAATAGAGGGGAATGATCACGTCCCTCGATCTGCTGGCAACGGCCCTACTTATACAGCCCAAAATGCCATTAGCCTTCTGGCAACAAGGGCACACTGTTGACTCATATCCAGCTTCTCGTCCATTGTAACCCTTAGGTCCTTTTCTGCAGAAAAGCTTCCTAGCCATCCCTAGTCTGTAACAGTGAATGGGATTCTTCCGTCCTAAGTGCAGGACTCTGCATTTGACCTTGTTGAACCTCATCATGTTTCTTTTGGCCCAATTCTCTAATTTGTCTAGGTCCCTCTGAATCCGATCCCTACCCTCCAGCGTATCTACCACGCCTCCCAGTTTAGTGTAATCTGCAAACTTGCTGAGAGTGCAGTCCACGCCATCCTCCAGATCATTAATGAAGATATTGAACAAAACCAGCCCCAGGACCGACCCTTGGGGCACTCCGCTTGAAACCGGCTGCCAACTAAACATGGAGCCGTTGATCACTACCTGTTGAGCCCGATGATTTAGCCAGCTTTCTATCCACCTTATAGTCCATTCATCCAGCCCATACTTCTTTAACTTGCTGGGAAGAATACTGTGGGAGACTGTATCAAAAGCTTTGCTAAAGTCAAGGAATTAAGTCAATGTTCAATTCTAATCTTTTGAAAGAACAACCATAATGTTTTGTTCAGAGTTATGAACAACCTCCATTCCCAAGGGTTCATAACTCTGAGGTTCTATTGTACTGGATGGAGAACATCTATTCCTTTCATACAAGCCAATGGGAAGCACTCACACAGTCTTCAGTAACTGATGACCTGGGCTGGATTTGAATCTGGGACCTAGAAGTTCTAGACCTTCTTTTACCTTCTTTAGTGATCCCCTGGTTTTCAGCAGGATGAAAATGACGTAGAGTGGAATGCAGATCATGGAAGAGAGAGCCATCAACCAGCCCAGAGCGTAGCCCCACGGAGGGTACACGTACCAGTTGTTGTATTTGAGGGGGGCGTACTTGATCAGTGAAAATAGGAAAGTCACCTGAGGAATGAAGAACATAAAAGTCAAAATAGCAGGTGGGTACATTGTGAGTCAGAAACAGGTGGTGGGAGACTGTTCCTGACAAGGGATGTATAAGCAGTAGAAGATTTGTGATCTCCTTACCTAGTTATATCCTTGTTCGTAAGTGTTTGAGAGTTGGAAATAGTGTCATGGGTATGTACACTGCTGTTACTTACCAGCCTTAACTGAGTTTTGAAACATTTTTTTGTTTTTGGAATTTTCACTCCCCACCTGTGCTGTTTTCCATTCACCAACCCCTCCCCTCTCCTGAACCTTTCAGTGTGCTCTTCTACCTCCTATCAGCCACCTTTCCAGCCCCTACCCAAATCCTTACCTCGCCTTGCCCTCTCCAACATGGATCCTCTAAACCTCCAGGAAATTCCCTCTCTCTCCAATGTATGTGTAGGAGGAAGGTCCTTATTTGTAAGCTCTCTGTAGTCAGGGTGCAGAAACTCTGGAGCAGCCAATCAGGGGCTGCAGTTTGGGTACCTTCTCTGGTGACTCCTGGCTTAGTCATGCCTCTGACAGGACTGACCTTTGAGCTCTGAGAACAGCCATGAGGCACCCAAGGCCCTCTCTGAAAATACTCGTTGAAAGATGATCTCTCAGCCCGTACCCAGCCCTATAGAGCACTCAAACCACTGAGCTCTCAGCAACTCATGCATGACCAAGCAGCAGCTCTGAAAACTCCCTGATTGTTTTCAACTCCCATTGGAGCCCTCAGGTGGCAGCTCCAACAGCTATTTGTGCCTATCCAAGCTGTAGAAGATCTTGCCCATATTGCCTGATCCTGATCCCATTGAGGTCAGTGGCAAACAAATGTCATGACGTTCACGGGAGCAGGATTAGGCCCATACCATCTGCTGAAATCAATGGAAACAGAACTGGGCACGAGACAAAAATAGTTAATATCTTTCCTTAATTATAAACTGTTTTCTTCAAACATAGTTGGTGGGTGCATTTTCAAGGTGATTTGACTTTATGGAAAGCAAGGGGCAGGAACAAGATGTTTTTGAACTAGCGGGAGTCATAGAAATGTAGACAGAAGAGAACATTTCAGAACAAGGTAATTCTTTAATGGGCTGAAATTCAAAAATGATTTGATCAGTTCCCTTCAGGCTGTGCAGATATATTCTCCTTAGCCTGCACAATAAATATACCAATTTTCAGGCTAAATGAAATTTCCTGACCTAAGACAAGGC